TATATACTCATGTTATCCGCAACCCGACCAAAATTCAACACAAAAATCCCAAATTCAACTATCCGCTATTTCTCCAAGCTGCCTCCGCCTCTAAGCTTGGCCTCCGCCTCCGAGGTCCACCTCCGCCTTCAGCTCGGCCTCCCGCTCCACCTGCGTTTCCCCTCCACCTCCGTAGAGACCCAAACTTTCATCTGTTGTTTCTCCAAGCCGCCTCCGCCTCTAAGCTTGGCCTTCACCTCCGAGCTCCACCTCCGCGCTACGGTTACGCTTCCGCCTCTAAGACTTGGGCTATGAAAATCGCCGCTAACGCTCCACCAATTCCAAATGGAACTCTCAGGATTTGTGAGAAGACCCCAATCGTGGCAGTGGCTTCATAGACGATGTCAATGAGGAAGACGTTGATGGTAGAAGAACTATAACACCGACGATCCGCTTCCTCCTTAGAATATGATGTGAGAGGTCGTTAAAGGTACTCATTTTTTGCTCTGCATTCTCACTGTTTGTTTAATTGCCTCACTCATCTAAATTTATTCCACCTGTTATATTTCTCTAAGTTATTGACTTCTAATCGACTGACGTAAATCTCAACGGCATGTGAGGAAGTCTTACATGAAATTTCAATTCATTTTGAGCCCGAAATTCCAGTGTTAAGAGTGCCAATTCACCAGAAGATAACGACGAGGCATAGTGCACGAATCTTCACATTGTAGCAATCCCAAACAAATGCGGAAAGGAAATAAAAGTGGTTAATTTCACGATTTTTAATTTATTGTATGTGAATTTGCTCTTTTTAAATCTGTACGTGACTTTATTTCCAGATTTGTGACATATTATATTTGAATTTGTGACTATAATTTTCAGATTATGACTTTATTGCGTGGTTTTTTATCAATAACATGTGACTTTATTACCATGAGAATAATGCATGCTTTATGAATCAAAGAGAGAATGGCTTCATATAGACATCAAATGGTTCATTTAAGATAAGTTGTAATTTGTGAGAAGTTTGTGAAGTCAATTGTAGTTTTTAATTATCATATTTTAGTTATGGCATTTAATAATTTTTATTTGAAAAAAAATTAAATTTAAACTCAATTTAACTTTTATTTTTAAAAACCAATTCACTCTCATTTTAAATACCAAAATCAACCCATTTGTGACCACGTCAGCAACATAGCCACAAAACGGGTCGATTTTTTTTAATCTCGTCTCTAAATAATCAGGATTGTCAACCCTAACTATTTTGCTAATGTCCTAGCTAAATTAGCCAATTCGAAAGTCGTAGTTCAAAATGATACCCTGATCATTTTGCCTTAGCCGATTCCAACTCTATTGTGAATTGAGTATCTGTTTAATTAGGTTATCCAGCTCGATTTTTTAATCTCCGAGGCCCTTTTCGAATTGGTCCGTGTTCCTAATCCTAACCATTTAGCAGATACTCAATTCACAATCAAGCTGGAATCAGCTAAGTCAAAATGATCAGGGTATCATTTCGAACTACAACTTTCAAATTGATAGGTATTGTCAACCTCGACCAATTAAACAGGGTGCTAAATTAATTAGGGTTGACAGCTAGGACATTAGCAAAATAATCGGAAATACCAAACCCGACTATTTAGAGACGAGATTTAAAAAAAATCGACTCACTTCGTGACCACATTGTTATCGTGACCACAAAATAGACCGATATCTGAATATAAAAACAAAGTGAGTCAATTTTTTTAAAAACAATCCTAATGGATTTAAAACAAAATTTTCTTCTCTTTTATTTAGGGCATGCATGGTGTTCCGAGGTTTGTCATACAGAATAGCATAAAAGTCCATAAAATAAATAGTCTCACCTTACAAGTTATTAAAATCATATGAATTTTTTATTATATCCTATTCATATCTATTTACTAAATATCCGATTAGTATCCATATACGTCTCTGTAATATTCAAATCGTATCAGTTTCTGTTTAATGCGAATTCAGTAATGCTTTCTTCTCACTGATAAATATTCGAATCATATCCGTATTCATTTTCATAAAGTGATTATGATTATGATAAATGTCATATCCGCACTGTATGAGAACCGATTGCACCCTAAATGATAAGATGTATATTGTTCATCTATAAAGTGACTAAAATTGGTTTATCGAGAATATTCTTAAATAAGAGTATAAAAATTAAATATTTGCAAAGAACAAAGTAACCTGTGAAAATAACAGACAAATACACATAATAATAAATAAATACAAAGATAAAATAAATAAATCAAAAATCTCGTAAAAAAGATGGAAATGTAGAGCCCAAATGGAACACGAGACAGCACAGGATAAGCGACACGTGTAACGATGGACTCCGTTCGATGTACCGAGCGTGTAACTGTATCAGCCACTGGATTACACCAAGAACAGATACCTGACTACACTCGGATTGATCTTCGTACAACAACTCGAGGACATAAAAACGTAACAACCGGGACAGGGACGTTATCGGGTTCAGATCCGAAACGATATCATCCGGTGAGGATTAAGATTGTAAATAATAATAAAAAATATCAATTCGTTTCGCTGGGAATGGGAGGCGCGGAGAAACCCTAGGTTTCCATTCTCAACACTACATCTCCAGAAACCGAATCAAGATCTCACCACGAAAGATTTCAAGATTACAAAACTAAACCCTAAAAAATTACTTTTGAAAATAGTTGACGGTAGAAAATGTACCGATCATGACAAGAGCAGGAATCTTTAGGAAGAAAGAAACCACTCGGTCAGTAGATCGATTAGGGTTTTGGTTTGGCTGGTCACAGGGAGCGCCGGCCCATTGAAGATATTCCAGCGCTTTTTGCAACGCAACCAGCGAAAAATCGATGAAAATATAATAGAAATTATTTTGCAGAAAACAAAAAAGTGACTACAAACGATCAAATAAATTGGTCTTGAGAAAGGGGGTAGGAAGCTGAGAGGCGTCGGAGGTCTCCGCGAAAAGGGATATTTATAGAGCTAGGGTTTTGTTTTGAAGAGAACACGCTTAATGGGCCAAGCCCATTACTTAAGGGGCCAGACCTGAGGCTTTTTCGCAGCAGCCCGGCTTAGCAGCTGGGTCAGTCCTTCGTAAATTTACAATCCCTTTCTTATTTATTCTAGCCTTTGGCACGTGTATAATGTCGTGATCAAAATAATAAGAATTTTTATGAACTATAGAAAAGCACCAAAAGGTTTACCAATAAAAAAAATGGATTAATTCTTTCCGACACCCTGTATTATGACGTAGCTACATAAGCAACCCCGATGTCTGGGCATCTACAAGGGCAACCACAATTTTAAGGGCCAGTGTGGAAGTGCTAACGGAGCTTTGCTTTATATATAAAATGACAAAAATGCCCTTTTATGCAAACACGATTTTCTCAGTACGTGGAATATAGAAAGAGTCCCATACAAAGTTTAGCGACTGAAACAGCTGAGTGAATTAGGGACGGTTTGGATTGGTTTTTTGGATGGGTAAAAGGGAGAAGCTGTCAAAAATGTCAGTTTTTTGACAGTTTTCCCCCAAAATCGCCTCTTATAGAGGCAATTTTGGGGGAAAGCTGCCAAAAAGCTAACATTTTTGGCAGCTTTCCCCCCTTTTACCCATCCAAAAACCAGAACCAAATGGGGCCTTATTAATATTGGTTATTTGTATATATACCCCTTAAATCATGGTATTTACAAAAATACTCTCCAAATTTTAACATTTGCAAAATTACCCCTCAGATCATCAATTTGTTTAAAAAAATTACCTTCAAAACTAGTAACAATCAACTTGATAAGCTCCTTGATAATCACAATGTAAAAACTATCAACAAAATAGTTAAAATTTTAGCACTAAGTTGATAATTCGTTGATTTTAGGGATATTTTTTTAACAAAGTTAATTATTTAAGGGGTAGTTTTGTAAATACTAAGATTTTTTAGGGCAAGTATTTTTGCATATACTTATGATTTAAGGAGTATATATGTAATAACCATATTAAGAAACAAATCCTTTCATGAAAGGGTCTTTAAAACTCAATCCCTCAAATCTTTAGTACTTCCATATTAGCCCCTCAAATCTTTAAAATTGCTTAAAATTTGAGGGACTAATATGAAATTACAAAAGATTTGTGGGATTAGTATCTAAATTACCCTTTTATAAAATTATTTTGAGGGACTAATGAGGAACTTTAAATATTTGACGGAATAATTAAGGATTTGAGGGATTAATTTCTTAAGGAAGTGATTTGAGGGACTAATCAGGACTACCTTTGTTAAATACTTAAGACCCCAGGGTCATAGGTGCATGCAATTACAAGATACCGCAAGGTATCAGAGTGTTAAAAGGATGTTTTAGGAATTCTCATATTATGTTAGTTGACAGTAAAAAAGCAAACGGTGTTTAGAAAACATTAGATTTTGAGTTGCGGTGATATAAGTTAGCAACCTCGAGATTATTGTTAGATACCCAAACTTTAGGGTTAACCGTGTAATTACATTATACCACAAGGTACCGATGTGTAATTAACCCCAAAAAAAATGAATTGATGTTTTGAATTTTTTTTCCCTTTTTTTTTTTTTCGCTTAATGGGCCCAGCCCATTACTTAAGGGGCTGGACCTAAGTTTCTGGCTGCAGGCTTATAAAGGCCTCACGCAGTTGGGTCAATCCTTCGTAAATCTACAAAGCGTTTTTTATTTTGTTGGAACATTTAAAATTTTGAAAAAAATAAATAATAGTAATCCGTTTTATGACATAGAAGTAGGGGAAAGCTTTAGAGAACTATCATCCCATTATAAGAGTTTTTGCACAAAGATAGCATGAAATGTTTATAAATGATAAGCTTCCAGTTTGCAGAGAAATATCATATACTTTTTATTAAAGATAGCATTTTGTTCTGTTTTTCGCTCCCAAACGGTCGTAGCCAATTGAAGTCTATTTTTGTTTCGTCCCCCCCCCCCCCCCCTAAAGTTCACCTAACCACAGCATTTAGTACTTCTCAGCATTCTACAGAAGAAATTAACAACTGCTTTCATCTGATCGTTTAATAAAAAAAACACTTCTCATCTCCTCTGTACATCCAGTGCAATTTGATTGAAAGATATCGACTAACCAAAGGTTCAAATTAGTACATTTTTTCAGCCTTTGGAATTCTACAAATTGGACCCACACCATTCATTGGTAAATTCATTTTTTTGCCTTGGAAAATCTAAGGCAACGGTATTTCTCACCACTGACGGTGATTTCAAGAGCTCCATCCTGGTTATCTTGGTTGGATGCGGTGCCCATGAGCACGCTCTTCTCTTTCTCTAGGTTCTCTTTCTCCATCTTCAGCCTCGCCTCTTGCCGCGCAATCTCTGCCTGCAGAAAGATAGTGGGCATTTATTTAGTATCATTCAAAATACAAGTAGAAATATTATATATCCGTATCATGACATCCACAGTCTTTTCTTCAGGTAACTTGCATTTTGGTACCCTAACGTTTGCACCTTTTTAACTTTTATACCCCAATTTAATTTAATTTTTATTTCCTGAATCTTTGATTAATTTTACACCATTTTAACTTTGATACCACAAAGTTTTGTCTTAAACACTTTGATACCCTAATGTTTGGGTATCAAAGTTAAAAGAACGTGTAAAGTGTGGGGAATCAAAGTATAAAATATGTGCAAACTTTGGGGTATCAGAATTAAGAAATTTGCAACCTTTACAGTATCAAGTGTAAGAAAACTTTGGGGCATCAGAGCCAAAAGATGTGTGTAAACTTTGGGATATCAAAGCGTCAAAAAGAACTTCAAAAAGTGTCAAAATATTTTGGGTATCAAAGTTAATAAATGTGTAAACTTTAGGGCAAACAACCCATTTCTATATCATATTATCATCCTACTCGGTGAAAAAATAGAGAGACAAATCACTGAAACTGCGAAACGTTTTAATGAGTGGCATATTTACAAATCTAAAAAAAAAAAGACAAACTCTGAAGAAGATACTGAACCACAGCTATTAAGTATTTATAACATATAGCCGGAGCTTTGCCCTCATGAGGAGAGATGATGTTTCACCGAGATTAAACTTCAGGAAATTGAGGCTGGCTTTTTTCACTACCAGAAAAATATTGGGTAAATTTTAAAGCATACTCTACCAAGAATAGGCTATTCTTAATCAATAGAAGAATGTTTATGAGGAAACATTAAGTGTAATATTCTAATAACTAGCTGTTCTTAATTCCATATATAAATGGCAAAAGGGGCTGAAAATTAAATGGTTAGATAAGAACCCTCACAGGGTCTGGATCAAATAGCTTTTCATCCTCCCATGGCCACCACTATAACTGCCATGCAGCTATGTATGTATCACAAGGGCCTAATGTCTGATAATGGAATTCCATGCATAAACTGATAGTCTGTTAAGGTGAAGATACATGCTATGTTATTATGATGGTATTCCTCATAATACATTCTTAAGGTAGCTTTTGTCATATTTGGCCAGCAGCGTGACTTTGCAAACTTGAACAGTTGAAAAGCAGTAAATAATCTCTCCACTCTACTTCTACACGCAAGTCTTGATATATACCAGCTAATCTCTTGCGACGGTGACAAGATTTAAGTTTCTATTGAGGTCCATTTCACTTAAGTGAAGCACATTGAATACAGGAAAATCCGATAACTACGTAAACAAGCAGCTTTTATCGACAATTTCATATTTTCCAAATATAAAATAACTGTTTCTCCTAATAGGTACTTATTACGAGCATAAGATCTCTGGCGAGTTCTTCAAATATTTATCACACGACTGTTTAGTCCAATAAACTTACTGTGGCCAATACATTTACAATCAGCTGGTAACGAGTAAAAGTTTAAAGACAGTTATGGTACAAAGAAATAACTCTATTGCTCTCCCCATTCTTGGCAGGATAAAATAAGCCAAAAACTTGCACTTGAATTTGTCGGCACCAAAAGTTTTATTGGTGGAAACTAAGAAATCTTCAAGGTGACACATAAATAGCATCAAGTCTAACTGATGTCAGGGATTGGTAGACATATTTCACAAGGTCCCTTCTTAAGAAATATTATTAAAATTATATGAGGAAATGCACTGCTGCAGAAGAACAAAGGTGATAATTTTTTTCTCTCTGTATACCCCCAAATCTATCCCATCAGATCATCAAAGCCAAAAAGCTTTAAGGCAAATCATCATTGCCAACGAACGTGATAAATTCCGTACATGCACAAAGACTTCCATGACAAAATGATAAAATGATAAAATGAAGTTGATGAATAGGTCATCATCTAAAACAAGAGAAGCAGAACCAAATTTGGAACTTTAGCATGCCATCGGCAGTTAACTCTGTCAGGATCATCCTATCCTCTTCGTTAAACAGGCATATTATGCCAAGTACAAGAAAGTTCTTGGGACTGAGGAAGGTTGTAAACTTGTAATAGATGTTTCCCTTGGAATCAAGGATCTAAAATACATCCTCAAATTGGGACGACAAACAGACATTGCACAATAATGGGCTTGTAGGTGCTAATAAACTTAGAGGTGTTAAAGATGGTAGGCACTAGGCGTAGAGCGTGTGATACATAGCAGATCAAAGAAGAAAGCCATGCAAGGAATAAAAGAAGAAGACAATGAATAACATATTAACTCTTCTGAAGCTATTGATGAATGTCTAAAGGCTGCGATGGCCAAGTAGATAATATGTAAACAGGATTCAATTGACTGGATTTGGACGACCACATGCCAGAAATAATTGAAGGCTTATTCATGAAAATTTCAAAGTTTACAAGATCATACGTATGGTTATATGGTGTGTTGTAAGATCAACAGCAGAAAAGCTACACAACATGCTCATTATGTAGATATTCCAATTGTTTTCTTTGATCACCTACTAATTGGGTCCCAGATGCAAGTTCTTTGACTCAATCATTCCACGCTATCTGCACCTGATCTAAAATGAAAAAAAAAAATTGTATATCTGAACTAATAGAGAATTGTGACATCAATATGGGTTACCATCAGACTTCATTTGAACTCTAAGTTGATCTAGACCTCAGCTGAATGCTAGAGGATGTATATGCTCCAACAGGCAGGAATAACTAACTGGAGTCAAAGTAGCATAAATGGTTGATACAACCTGATTTACTTCACCAAGCTGCTAAGCATAATCAAAGGACGAAATGTAATAGTTATCTGTTTCTTGTGCTTATCTATGTTTTCTTAGAGAAGATATTTAAAACTAGGTTCTCCTTCTTCAGTTGCGCTAGGATGATTCTGAATTGTTAACTAATAAGGAAATGTTCAAAGAAGCATTACAGATGTACACTATTGGCTGGATAAGCAGCGCTTGGCTGCAGATTTCATGTGAGGATTGTTTGATAATGGGTTAATTTGTCTCATGAACAAGCAGAAATCTATACCAAAATGAGCGCTGCAGACAGTTGTTTGATGAGATCTGAATAACACTCTCATGACTATACTAGGCAAGAGTTAACATCTCCATTACTTATGATGTCAACATCATTTCTAGATTATCTAATCCCTACCAGATCAGTGTACATGGGAAATTACAAATCCCAGGCCAAAATTTACCAAAACATTTGCTCAACTCCATCAGCAGATAACCAAGGAATCGATACACAGAAAAAATAGATGGCCATTAGCATCTTGTTCCCCGAATGCTGCACATTCTTTGTCAGCCATCACAAGTTGTCACCAACTTACCATCACTCACGTGCCAGACACTTGAGTCTAAAAGTTCTCTTCCATTTAGTATCTTCCCTCTTTGAACAATTATTAGTAAAAATCGAACTACATCGACCATGAGAAACATTTTATCCTTTAGAATGAATATATAGAGGTTGCTGTGTCAAGAATTATAAAAGGCATTAAATGTTAAATTACTCCTCAGCACTGAAAGGCATTAAATGCTTAATTAGGATGGTTATTGAGGTGTTGTGTCAAGAACTATAGAAGGTCGCTAAACTCACCTTCACCAGGAGCAACCATCATTGTTTTGTTTCCTTCACATATCTCAATGAATATGGAAGGTCAGACAGAACTATTCAGTATAAATGCCAAAAAAATAACTTCACCAAAGGAAAGCATGCTTTAAAATGCGTAGGGACTCTTAAAAGATCACAGCAAGCAAAATAAAATAGCTAAAATATGAATTACACAATTCACTCATTTAGTTTGGAATCAGTGAATCACAACATAAACTGAAAGAATATGTCATCTAATTCTAGAACCAAAATTTCCCCTTTTTTTGGGGTAGAACAACAAGCAAAAGAACACCTCTTTCTTCGAGCTGGTGTTTCAGGACCATGCGTCCGATGTCAACAATTTTACCCTAATAACAGCTGAATACTTGAGACTCTCAAGAAGACCAATTTACCAGAATCTTGGAAGGGTGGTAACAATGTTCTCTTTGATATACAAAAAAAAACTCACTTAGATATATGCTGGTAATATTGCAATTGTTTTGAGGCAGGTGTGACAAAATGGTACCAATTTTGTTTTGTGATTGAAGAGTAAATGTTACAGGATGGAAATCTGAGTTCTCAAACCATGTAAAAGCCTTTTTGTAACAGCAACTATGTTTATTCCTTTGGTCTGCAGGATGAATGTAATTCAGTAAACCCATGGGGTTCGCAGTGACAAAGCACAAGTTCTGTGAGAATAGTATTTTACCCAAGAGTGCATATCGAACTTCGAGGAGTAGATCTATGGTAGGTGACGAAAGAAATTAAGTGGATTTCGGAAATCCTCAAGGGAGCACAGTACACTTGTGTAGTTGGATATTTTGTTGGAGAAAAGGCAATTTTACCTTCATGAATAGTCCCATATGGAATAATGTTATGAATACAATTAACACGTGCGTAACGGCTATACATTATGGGGAACATTACGAAAATTTATGACGAACGTTACTGTAGTAATTGTAGGAATTATAATGGCTTTCTCAACCATATATATACACCCCTTATTCACTTTCGGAAAAGATATAGAAATAATTCTCTTTTTTTCCTCTTCTCCTCTGCATAGTATTTACGTTCATATATTGGTGTTATTTTTGGGCAACCGTTCTTCGTCTGAGCTGAAACTCTATTCTCTAGCTCGAGTACAGAGGTCGGTCGCTTCCGAAGGTTTTTACCGCTAGTGGAGAGAGGATCATCTGCGCCAGGGCGATAGGCGGGTCCTCAATTTTCTAGGACAGTGTTTACACAACTGCTCCCGATCAGGCCAGACTTTCTTATTATTTTATTTCGGATTTATTTTACATGCCAAAATTTTATTTGATAAATTTTCAACAATCTAGAAGATTGAAATTTTATTGTTGTTAATTTAAATCTGAAATAACTTAATCTAAAATTAATAGCTTTTATTTCTTGCCTAATTTTGTTAATTCAAAGGGAAAAATTTACCGTTCATCGGATTTTACTGTTTATCCGAAACTCTCTGTTACTGTTCATAAAAACTATTTGCTACATTTGCTTTAATTTCTTGTTTGTTTGTTAACTAATAATTTAAATTAGTTGTTGTTGTTTATTTAAAATAAAATAAAATAAAATAATAGTTTCAGTTACTGCTCTTTTTATTTAAAAAATATTTACTGTTTATATAGAGCACTGTTCATCAGACAATTATTTTCCTTGTTCATAAAAATGCAATTATTGTTCATTCTAGAAAAATACGGTTTCTATAACTGTTTTCTTACTTTATTTTAATTGTTGTAATTAATTATAATTAATTAATATCACTGTAGCAATTAAGTATTCATCACAGTTGCTGTAGCAAATTACCGTACCATTTATAAATAGTAAAAGTGTAAGTTACTGATACAGTTTTATAGTTATTGTTTATGTATTTATTGTTAACCGTCACTATTCTCATATACTGTTAAGTGAACCGGTTCAATTTTTTTTGAATTAGTTGATGTCTAAGACAATGTTTAGGGGTTGCGTAACATGCTCCGTAAGGAACGAGATACTTAATTGATCTTTGATCTCCCTCTAGTACTATCCTTACCTGGCTAAACTATCCAGGTAAAACTTTGATCTTTTCATTTTAGGAGTTTTTGGTTAGGAACTGATCTAGTTAAGTTTATGGTCTAGTTGTATTGACAAAAACATTTTTCATTTATAGCTTTTGTTTTACAATCATATGCAATATTATTAATTTATTACAAATCATTTGATACGGGTTTTCCATATAAATAGGGCTTATACGTCATATGCTTATGTGATTGTATTTATTTGATAATTGTTAAAAATATTTTATATTCAAGCATGAATAAGAGGACCGGAATTATGAGAATAATTCATATGCATAAATTTAAATTTGTAAAGTCTATTTTGTAGACAATCAATTTAAATTTGGAAGGTCTTTTTTGTAGGCAACAAATTTAAATTTAGAAGGTCTCCTTTATAGGCAACAAATTTGCAACCTCTTATAATACGAGAATTTAAAATTTATGTATATGAAGTATGAAATATACTTTAAGATATGAAATTATATTATAAGGTTCTCTTGAATGTTTTGCATGTAACTATTAGTAATTTTATTCATGTATGTGCATATGCATGCATGTAAAGATATAACTGTAGTATTTTAGTTCCACATTAGTTTAAAATGTTCAGATATTAAGGGCAAATTCTAACCCGATGCAGTTACATCTTCAGACATAAACTATGATTATTTATGATCATAGACCATGATCTTTTATGCTAACATGTTTTAATGTCCTATCAATTTAATAGTGACTAGAAAGATTAATTTTTATAGCTCTTTATTTGACTACATGTATAATGTTTTCTCTTGAGATTTCAGGAAATATTTATAGTTGATATAAATATGCTCTGTCAACTAATATGCCGCGTTACAGGAGATGTGATGAATCAATGTCTTGAAAAATCAAATCAAGAGGTATATCTTATAACTTCTATCTATATGATGAATAAAAGTTATATTAAAATTAGTCCATCAAATAATTAAAAATTACTGTTAGGTTCCCTTATCTTTATAAGTTGTTTCAAATTAATCCCTCCTCTTGCTACTTGTACTCTTGCCTAGAGATACTAATTTTAAAATAACTTAACAAGAAGGAGACTTAATGTCAATTTCAAACAATATGAAGGACTAATTATAAAATAACCTAAAGACTTGATAAATATATACGTCTGCTAGGCAAAATTGTGATTCTAGACTATGTAAAGTCTGAGAAGAATTTTGATGATCCATTGACTAAAGGTCTATCCAGGAGTGTGGTTCTAAATTCATCGAGGAAGATGGGGTTAAGCCCATAGATGAGATCACTGACAGCGGCAACCCAACCTTTATTTGGAGATGTAGTCTCAATGTTAGTTCAATGTGGTAGAAACAAACTGGACTAGTGACACTCGTGTGAAGCATCAACCAAGATATATTTATATATCATTATAGTAGCATGTGCTACTTCCCATTCTCTATGATGACGATGCTCTTATGATACAACTGGTTAGGCTGAGTTTTACTCTTAATAAGTCCAACACGTGTATTGCGAAGGGTATGATATCCAACTGTAGTATCCTTGGAGGACTTACCTATGTGGGAGGAACCGTGATGACCGCGGTAGGGGAGGGTAGGGCTAACCCATAGAAACTCTCATGAGTTGGTTTATTGTGAGCATAGCCTTTAACGCTCAACTCGTTTTGCTCAATAGATGAAGACGTATTGTGTGTGTGTGTGTTTTCGTCAATACCCGGTACAATGAGCCTAATTCAAAGCCTAGTCTATTATGTTCCTCAGGTGGCGATGAACTCACTAAGAAAAGGTTAGAAGCCGAAAGCTACCTCTCTCGAATTCACGATATGAAAGGTTGCACAACCTATATTTATTTCGTGATTTATTATTTTATTTATTTGTTTTTGAGTTTTCAGTCAATATTGCCTTTTGGGGGGGGGGACTGTTGGATATTTTGTTAGAGAAAAGGTAATTTTGCCTTCATGAATAGTCTCACATGGAATAGTATTATAAATACAATTAAAACGTGCGTAACGACTATACATTAAGGGGAACGTTACGAAAATTTATGACGAACGTTACCGTATTAATTGTAGGAATTATAATGGTTTTCTCAACCCTATATATACAACCCTTATTCACTTTCGGAAAAGATATAAAAACAATTCTCTCTTTTTCCTCTCCTCTCCTCTGCATATTATTTCCGTTTATATGTTGGTGTTATTTTTGGGCAACCGTCTGAGCTGAAGCTTTGTTCTCTCACCCGAGTACACAGATCAGCCGCTTCCGGGGGTTTTTACCGCTAAGGGAGAGAGGATCATTTACGCCAGGGCGATAGGCGGGTCCTCAATCTTCTAGGACAGTGTTTACACGACTGCTCCCGATCAGGCCAGACTTTCTTATTAGTTTATTCTGAATTTATTTTACATGCCAAATTTTTACTTGATAAATTTCCAACATGTGTTGCGTGCACCATAGTAAAAACTTGCTATTTTGTCAATTTACGATATGATGTAGCAAAACATGCGGCTGAGAAAAAGACATGAACTCGTCTTTCGGGAGTTTGAGATAAAAAAGATGCGTGCACAAGCGCAACTGAAACATTATGGGAATAGAGACGAGTGATATTAAGCGCTTATTATCGTAAACGGGATGTTGCATCTCCCTCTCAATTACTTCACTTTTCATGACCTCGTGTTGTACTCGACCCAGTCTTTGTTCCCTAAAGTTCTAGATTGCGACAATGAAGCTTGTTCCTGTACTCTTTTCAGCTCAAACTTCCGCCAAAGACGAAGCTTTAGAACCAAGAAAACAACAACACAAGCAACAAAACAGAACCAAACCGTTTCCTTCTAACTTCCCCCCTCCAATTAAGCATATGATTGTCATTAAAGATTACCTCGCGTCTAGAGAGCTCGGCTTTCCAAGCGGCCTCTCGCTCGGCGACCTCGCGTTCTCTCTCCTCGATGTAGCTCTGCATCTCCCTCTCTTTCATCAACCGATCTTGTATGTCCGCTTCCAGCGCTTCCTTCAGCTCGTTCACGAACTTATCCACCACCGCCTTTATCCTCAGCGACATCGGACTCCCCCAGCTCCCCTCTCTTGTTGCCTCCGACGATCGAACGGCGATTAGAGATCCATCGAAGCCATTATTATTATTATTATTATCTTTATTTGTTTTCGAAAGAGGGTAAAAAAAAGGAAAAGATTTTTAGTGGATTTTCGTATGGTTAGGGTTTTGAATCGTGAGAGAGGCGGAAGTTATTAGGAAATTCTGAGAGCAGTAGAGGAGCGTGGGGTCAAGCGAGGGGGAGGATTGTGCGGGAGGGAAGGAATCTGAGATGGCCAGACTACCCTTTTTCCTCTTGCGCCCTCCACAATTTCGAAATTACAACTTACCGCTTATTACCGATTGCGAACATAATGGGTCTCTTCCCTGTGCCCAATCTCCCAAGATTATACACTATAAACAGTAGCAGAGATCCGCAAACGTGATCAATCTCTCAATACGAGTTCTGTCATAACATTTTCTATATATAAGTGCAATTTCTTGAATTATAAGAGGGAGCAGCTAAAATTCCCAACAAGTCCGAACAACTCAAAACAACGTATGTTCTGATAAAATTTATACTCTATTCTGCTTATTCGACGATTCTAACTGTCTCTATATAATAGGTATGAGAGTTTCCTGGAAGTTTGTTAGTGAACGATAACAAAGAGAAGTCAAGTCAAGGCAAAGGAAGAAGGTTATCTTTCGCATAAGCAACCCCTCTCAACACTCAAAAATATATGGCGACACTTGCATGATTGCCACATTATCAACCAAAAACGAACAAATGCCGTTTTGGAAATTATTGCCTGATCAATCAAAACTAATTGAACAGCTGCTGTTTTCACACATATCCAACAGCTAAGTGGCACCAAAAAGGTAACAAACGTCTCCATACAACATCGCATAACTGATACAAACCAAAAATTTCCATGATCTATAGAGAAGGCAGTAACTACCACCAGGCAAAATTTTACCAGAACCTTTGATTTCTATCGAAAGAAAGACCACTACGGAGTTTTATTTGAAAGGAGGGAGGATTCTTCTGCGGGGCTTGGGAGTCTCCCTCTTAACGTACATCTTCTCCATCTCATTCAACGAACGGCTTGATCCATCAGGCAAGCTCACAAACTTCCAGCCACCACCACCACCGCCACCACGTTTGTCACGGGGCCCCAGCTTCTCGACTGTGAAGTTCCATCCTTCCTTTGGCCGCCGCCGGCTATATTTGTGGCATTTTACCTCCCCTGCTACCTGGACACAGAAAAGGATAATAAGGTTCCTTAGCCAATTCAAAGTCGAAGGATATCAGTCCATCCGAGTTTAAGAAGCAAAGCTTTGTACGTGACTATTGTAAATTGACACAAGGCAATAGGAAGGAAAAAAAATGATTAGGAAGCCTTTCAAACAACTTCAAAATTTTCAAAGAGTACGTCAAACCGCATAAAACTTAATTAAAATTACTTGCTATTTGCATTAATCCATCAGAAAGTAGTTTAAGCTAATTGACTTGCGGATGTCTATGACCTTTAAACTCACAACTAACTCTAAACAACCATGGCCAACAATCTCTTTGATGCCCGAGTGATCACCGCCTTAGAAGCTGCCTAAACTTAAAAAGCGCATGCTCATCAAACTTGTACTACTTTCCTGCGCTAATTCGTAAAATGTCAAATTTATCAATATTGGAATGTGCCGCAAAGGCCTATATATTGTGTGAGCTTCAAAAATTAAAATATGAGTCACTCCTACGCATGAAATGTTACGTATAAAATCAAGTTTACACCAAATGTCAGTTAAATATATCAAACCGATAATGCTAAATTGTTGAAGATTCAGCTTTAAAAATTAACTCCCATTTTCTTCCCGGTTATATCGTATCAAAAAATGAGATCAAAAAAAGAAAGAACAAAACAAGAACAAAGAAAAGTGAACAGAATGAGAACAAAGTAAAAAAAAAAACAGAGCAAAGTGGGTTTGGGACTTAAAAGTTCAATCTATAATTTTCAAGTACGTCAAACAAGCCAATGAAAGTAGCAATCTGCAAATGTATTAAACTCTTAAAATAACTGAAGATGTTGAAGGCAGTTAAAAGCCTGAATTTGATTTCTTCCACTAGATATAAAAGGCCAAAATTCAAAAAATGGTGTCTTAATTTAACAAACATGGCCAGGACAATAGAGAGTTTATTATAAACAACCTTGTCTACAAATAATGCATACAAGTACAGGATGAAACATCAATTAGAACTTAACAGAAGCAAAAAATTGAGAATTGAGACCTAGAAACGAATGTGACCCGTATCTAATCCTACAATGGCATCCAGCTCATGGAAGATTGACAACATTTTTCATATGCTTAAAGATGCAATCATGCAATCATTAGAATTTTAGTTTTTCTTATTTCAATATTCAGTTTATCCTGATTCCTCAGTGTAGCATATTCAAACAGATATTTATTGCTGATCTTTCATGTTATTTATAATGAGCATTTAATTTTCTCATGAAACAAACAATGATTAGTGAGCTGCATATTCAAGAATGCATGTGATCTGCCTATGATTTATAAATTAATAAATGATTCATTAAGCTAGGACAATCTATCTGAATACATCCTCATAATACCAACTCCAAGTGAATACCACTACTCCAAGTAGTTTTTTAATTTCTGTGGATATAGGGGCATGCAAAGCTTTCAAAGGAACCCAAGAGATAGCATAGACCTTTAACAAGTAATTTTTGAATTTCTATGGATATAGGGGCATGCAAAGCTTTCAAAGGAACCCAAAGGATAGCATAGACCCTCAACAACAGATGCTAGACTGTAAATAAGTAAAACTTACTATAGATGTGAATGCATTTGTTATAAGAAGAAACTAATGAAGCCTATAGAATACCTTCGAAACTAACTATGATAGCTAAAATGCATGTTCAAGACAACAACAGAAATGCCACAAGAAAAAGAAGCCTTCATTACGTTCAAGGTTAAGCTACATGAATCATGTTTCTCCATTCTCATCCATTAAGCGACATCCGATGCAAATACTTTAATGTCAATAAACTAGGCAATTTTAGCTAAAAAACAGGATTGCACATACGTTGAATTCAACACATTGCAAGCGTGGAACTTGTGCAAGCTAGTTGAATACAAACATATGATGTAAGAAGGACAAAATAGTTTCTCGAGTATGAAACTTACTTTCTTTTTGTTGAAGTTCAAGCGCTGAACAAACTCTTCATACAATCTCTGATCTTCCTTCATTGAGATCTCATAGAGAACCTCATCAGGGTCCCTTGTGGTGCCATCCCAGCCCTCAGGCATGACTTTGAAGTCAGGCTTATATGGGAGAGATGCAACATGGAATTCCCTGTCATGGGAATTGAAGAATCTGGAGCAGGAAAAGAGAAACCGTTTACTTGCATTGCTTTTGTACAGCTAAATAGCTAATGATGTGTGTTTCCAAAAGTCAGTGGACTGATGGGTGGTTTTATTTATTTTCCTATTTATAACTTTTTTTTGGGCCTGATGGTGGCAGTGGCCAGTGAGAGGAGCATGAGCAGGATAAAGGAAAATGAAAGCCACAAATAAACGACCTCCTACCAAACTCTTGTACCTCAAGAGCTTAGAAGATTGTTAGTAGGTAGATGTGATACCATGCAACAAAGAAATGTACAAAATTGATATAACAAATAATAAAACTAGCATGCTCAACGAGTAATTCATCTTCCACTTCTCTGTAACAAAAAGTGAACCATAAGATACTTAAATTTTCCTACCATTACAACTCAAGTCTCTGGCATGCAACTATTAGCCATCACCACATTTAAAACTTTGCAAAATATAGCCAGATATTTCCGTAGCCTGCCAATGATTAGATAGGGGAAACATAACACTAAGTTTCATCCTATCTGAACTACAGGCCAACATGAAAATGCATTATGATTTTGAGTTGACTAGATGCAAGCACAGATAAGAAAACTTTTGTTGCCTAATCTATGGTGATATTTTTGTTATATCTGACGATTTATCACATA